GCAGTGATTTTTAAACACAAATAAAGGAAATCTCTTCAGTTTGGTTTGTTTGCTAATACAAAACTGTCAGCAATCAGGGTCAGATTTAGGTACTGCTGTTGTCCAGAATTGTATTGATTATGTTATCTTTATGGGTCCATGTGAAATTCATTCATGTGATACAGAACCACAAAAATGGACTCATGGATTCTTTTTAAAAAGATGTGTTAATATTTTACTTGCCTGTAACTCTTCCCTCCGCATGACCCAAAAGTATTTGGTAGGCAACTGTGTTTAACATTTTAGTGGCCACAGAGATGGGCCATAAACCTCACTAGTAATAACACAGCCTTAAGTAACACTGACACTTCCTTTCTTTAATTTTTGAAAAATGCTCTTCTATTCAGAAGAATACATGGAGATTTGGGTGCTGAAGATCCATGTGAGATCAACTGTACTACAGGCACTGTTGGAACTGGGGACAGTAAGTGGATGGAGACACAACTTCCCCCCACGTTCTGGATAATCAGACATAGAGCTCTTTACTAAAGGATCTGGTTTAGCTGGTGAAATCAGGTAACTGTCACGGTGTGCGTAAGTACCACCTCACACTCACAAGAATCTGGGTCTAGACATTCTGATTTAAATTGGAACTTAACTTGGTTTTCCCCTGGTGCTTGCTTCAGATTAATTTCTTAGATGTGAGCTTTGCAATCATTTAGCAACTGCCTTACTGTCCCTTAATTGCTAAAATTTAGCTTATTCCAAAACAGCCAAACCAAATCAAGGCACAAATGATTTGGAATTTTCTGCAAAGTAACTTATGGAATTTTGATATATTTAATATTAGCTTGTCGGCCTAAGTGCCTGCCTTGCAAGCAGGCAGTCATGAGTTTGATCCCTGGTACCGATAAAAGACAAAAAAAAAAAAAAAAAAATTAGTTTGTTTAAGAGATTAAGAAATTAAGTACTAATAAATTAAATAAAGGTCACAGGGTGTTACTGCCACAGATGGACATAGGCGCTTGATCCTCTGTCCAGTGTAGTGGTCTGGTCATCATCATGACATTCCTCCTCTCTAACAGAAGCTGCAAAGAAAACTCAAAAGTGTTTGTTTTTATTAATGCAAAATAAAGGGTTTCAAAAACACACTCTTGCAAATAAAGTGTTCACTTATGCACATTTGATAGTTTTTTAACATGAGCCTCATGTAAGTTCGATGTTATGATACTGCGTCATTATTTCCATTATAAATTGCTTGTTTCAACAAATTTTTATGGCTTCCTAGAACTAGTAGGAAATACTTGGTTGCCATTTCTGAACAAGATATGCATGAATTGGGCTGGGGAATTTTGCTCAGCGGCATAAGCACCTGCCTTGCAAGTGTGCAGTTGTGAGTTTGATTCCCCGTACCACCACCAAAAAAAAAAAAAGTTATGCATGAATGGATTTGATACTACATGGACAGTCTTCCTGGGTAGAAACAATTATTTTTTGTATTCTTTTGAACCTGTGGGAGAGTAAGAATGGATTCAAATTGACACACAGGAAGTGATGTCACGTGACAGCCAAAAGTGATTCTTTTCTATGAGAAAATTTGTGTTCTGCGCTTAGCTTTTCCCGACTTCAGTAACAAACAGCGTCCTCTGCTGCCCTCTGGCGGTTCTAGGAGCCCAGGAAATTATGTTTCTCTGTTTACTGCTGAGGATATATATATATATACATCCTGCTGAATCAATCACAGATTTAAACAAAATTAAATAATCTCTGACACATAGATGTAGAATATCAATGGTAAAGTTAAGAACATGCATGTATCTCTTCAAATCAAGCAAGTTAACTGCTTTTCCACAAGAACTGGTTTTAAATATTTTGGTAAGTTTTTGTTGTTTTGAGTGTTTTTCATGCTGAGGCATGTGAGTCCAGTACTCTACCACTGAGCTACACCTCAGTCCTGTTTGGTGATTTTCACTGGCTTTGGGTCAGGATTTGGCAAGGTTAAAAATGTGCCTCCTGGTTTGGGTTTCTCATGGCCTGTGTGATCATGATTTAGCTTTGAGAAGATCTTACAGCTGAGGTTTTTAGCTTTCCTTTCTAGGATTCACAAATGAACAAAGCATTTCTTCCTATGTTAGTGAGATCTACCAGTGGCCTTAGCGATGGTTTCTACGATGCTCAACTCTACAATAAGAGAACCAGGTTACAGAAAAGTTAGGTGACGACTACAATCAAAAACCTTTTGTTTTTGTTTTTTGTCTTTTTGAGACAGAGTCTCGCTGTGCAGTTCAGGCTGGCCTTGAGCTCACTTTGTAGCCCAGGCTGGTCTCGAACTCGCAACGATCCTCCTGCCTCAGCCTCCCGAGTGCTGGGATTACAGGCGTGAGCCACCACAGTCAGCTTAAAGAGCAGAGAATCCACCAACAGGTTTTTTTTTTTGTTTTTTTTTTTTTGTCTTTTTCAGTACAGGGATCGAACTCAGGACCGCCTGCTTGCAAGGCAGGCGCTTATGCCACTGAGCTAAATCTCTATCCCCTTTAATTGGCTGTTTAAAAATGCACGTGGCCTCATGCTACTTCCTTTTTCAAATGTAGTGGCCTTACATAATAATTTTATCTTCCCCATAACTTCACTCCCTTTTCTACATCCAGCCCCTCTTGAAAGGTGTCATCATCAACCTCCTTTCAAACCAGAAGCTCCCTACTTGCCACCCCTTCCTCTTCCCTCCTTTAGCCCATCAATTACTAAGCGCTTTTCATTCTGAACCTCACTGCTCCTCAGTTAACCTCCCCCTGGCTGTCATGTTAATGCTGGGCAGTACCCAACACAGCAGCTCCCAGACTGCATCACCGCGTCCTCCCCCGTTAAATCAGCCCGTGACACCAGGACAGCACGGCCTTCCTCCTGGCACAGCTAATAACGATGTCTTGCAGTCTTCTTTTTCCCAATCTCCTTTCTTATGCCTCATTACCTTCCCATCTACTGTCTAGCCTCTCTACTTTGAAGAAATTGCTTCTATATTTCAGCTCAACACATATTTATCAAATGTCTACTTTAATGGGTTCACAGGATATCCAGGAAGAGGCTCAGGAAATTGCAAGTGTTGTAGGAGTGGTTAGGTAGCCAGGACTTAAGAGTCAGGGACGTTGCCAACCAGAGGCTACTGAACCAAACGGAAAAGAGAAGTAAGTGTGCAACCAAAATATGGGTTCAGAGGGTTCCAGACAGCAAGGCATAAAACTGCCACAACAGCTTGGAAAGATGACACTGTATTTTTACCAGGTGTTACAGACAGTATCAACTTCATGACTATGCAGAATAGTTTGATTTTCAGAAAGGTTGCTGTGACGGCACCTCGGGAATGGGGAGCAGAGGGAGGGAGCAGGAATGTTTATCAGAAAAATTTTGCAGTTGTTCAGGTTAGAGATGAGAAGGAGGTGTAGGCATAATAGACATCAAAACATTAAATCTGTACTGCCTGGAATATGAGGTCTTCAAAGGCTCACTGAGGCACCCTCCTTAGTCAATTTTCTGTGACTGAAACAAAATACTTGAGGGTTAGGGTTACTGAATACTTGAGGGTTCTGTTGCTGAAACACGCTTTACTCTAGCTTGACCTTCAGTCCATTGACTCTGTGGCTTCAGGATTTGGGTGGAGGCACTGGGAGGGTGGAGGAGGCAGAGAGAGAGAGGAACGCTTTGGGTCCTGGTCTTCCCCAAGGCCACACCCTTCAATAACCCTGCAGTCTGAGAAGACATCATGACCACTATGGTTCTGGAACCTTCCAGAACTTTCCTTGAGCAGGTGTAACTGCTCAACTACCCCCGTTTTCTCAAGCTACTCTAAGTAGTCTTTCTTAATCTTTATTACTTTAAATACTAAATATTTTAGTTATTTGTTATGTGTCTATAACTCCTGAAGCCTTGTGAGCTTTTTAGGTAAGTTGATTTCATTTTAAATGTATGTATTCTTACCATGTCCAGTATTTCCTCTGTCTCTCTTTGATTCATATATGTGTATATAAACATATATATATATATATATATATGAGTTTATAACTAAATTCATATATATGTATGAGTAAAACCTTGATTTGTAAGTATAATTCATTCTGAAACATGCTTGTAATCCAAAATATCAAATTTGTATGTCAAAGCAAATTTTTCCCCATTCCAGAAATAACAAAAACTCAGATGAATCAGTCCACAAACCAAAACTATTCATATAAAATGATTATGATAATGTAATATAATACACAATATAAAGAATAAGCAACAAACTAGCATGCACTTACCTTTTGAAAACCTTCCTGGCTGGTGTGAGGGAGAAAGGAGGGAGGAGGGGCACTGTGAGGAGGACTTTCACTATCACTAATGTGATCACTGCTCTCTAGGGACTCAACAGAATCTTTTTTCTTTTCATACAATTTCAATGAAGAACTTATCCAAAGACACTTGTTTATGCCTTTTTAGGAATACATGGAAATATGACATTTGGATTGTTTTTAAACAGACCCAATGCTCACACTGCTATGGGCTTATTGGGATGTCACTTTTCTATGGAATTTTTCACCATTTCCCACATTTTACACATCACTCTAATCTCACTTGAAGTGAGATCCCTTTGCCTTTTTTTCTTCCTCTACTGATGTGAAGATGAGATAAACAAGATCTCCATAGCTTCCTGCTGTTGGGAGATGATCACTCATGACTTGAAAGGAGAGAGAGACAGACACAGACAGACAGAAGCCAATGGCTCAGCTGATTTTTGGCATCACATACTACTTATACTGAAAGATAACACTCATTTATCAAGTTAAAACTGATTCTTGCGGAACACCTGCAGAACAAGTTACTCACAATTCAAGATACATAGATATAGACATATGCCTATTGTATATTTATATATCAGTAGCAGATCAAAAGTTTAGGATAGGTAAAATTTAAAAACATCTATAATATACAACATTAATAAATTTAAAATTGATAATGTTAACATTTTTGTAGAATAAAAACTGTCCAGAGACAAGTGAAAAAAATAATTTATTGCAGATTCTTTTATACATTAACATGGAACATTTATACATATATTGATATACTGATATGAAATACTAAATTTAAAGACAAGCATTTTTACACAAGGATGTCTGCAGTATATTTTATAAATCTAAGTATCAATAAGTTACCAGAGACAACTGTAGAACAACAGGCCAATTATTCCAATAGGAATGCATTCTGCACTGGAATTAAACTAGCTTTCTGAGTGTGATGCCCTGGATACAATCACATTTTCCCAAGCTAATTTCTGGGAAGGAAAGCCAGGAAGAGTGGCTCTAGGCACAGCTTTCCTCTTGGGTGTGACTGAGGGTTCTAGCAGTAGCCCGAGCTAATTTAACAGCTCACTGCGAAACAACTGTGGGCGCTACAGTGATTGCCACGAGGGAGACGGCACAGTCGGTGACCAGTGAGTGGAATTGCAGCTGCCCTGTGACCTGCACCAGCAACCAAACACTTTAGTAACAGAAATGCACACTCAGTATTTCCAGAGGGAAATTAGCATACTTCAAAATAGTCACTCTGTTCTTAGCATGGTAGATCAATTCTTCAAACATCTGAAAATAAATTGTATTTTTTCCCTAAAACTTATTACTCATTCTTTAGAAAATGACTTCTATAATGATATACACCAACATGATATAAATTTTGTTCTATGTTATAGTCATTAAAATATACATACATACATACACACACATACATATATATATATATATATGGAGCATAAAGCAGATTTGGTAAACTATATATATGCATATATATAGTGCCAAATACTGTTCAGTTTCATTCAATTCCACAAATATTTTAATTAATACAACAAATATTTATTGGGTGGCTACTACTTGCTGATGCCCAGTTTAGGTAAAATCTGTAGTAGAGCTGAAGACACCGAAGTTCACAACACCCACATTAGAAGCCAAACTTCTGATAATATACCAAAACCACAGAAATACTCAAAAGCAGAGCTAATGTTAAGTAACGGACAGCACAAGACCCATCTAGGGGAAATGCTGGGAAACTAAAAGAGGACAGTGACCTCTGCACACGGAGCGGAAGTGCTCCTCAGGTCCCGTGGATCAGGAGACAGCAGGAGGCGAACCCAGTCCCAGATTCTCCTTGTCTCACAAGCTGAGGTTCAGTCATCCACCTGGTCTGTTCCCTTTAGGAAACGGAAGACAGAGGGTACTGATTTAGAGTAAGAAAGCTTGTCGTGCATTTTTCTAAGAACAGGGACTGCATTCATATCTATAACTTTCAACCATTCACTCCAACCCAGATTCAGAATGAAATTATTCTTCAGGGCCACCTAACTGAGATCACCAAAGCTAGAGGTGAAATTACTTGGCTCATGAGAATACCAGTACTCACGCCAACCTCACAGGTAAATGATTTTGAGCCAAATAGTCAAAAGGAGGTGAATGTTTACACACTTGGCATTCTGTTGCCCTGAGGACGTGTTATATTCTTTTTAAAAAGCACTTGTAGAGAGTGCAGACATACATACTTTTAAAATGTGGTAAGTCATGTTACCTCCTCTAAAGAGCTAAGACATCAACTGGGAAACCACCTCTCTTGGCCACAGTAGCCCACTGAGCAGGAAAAGGCCAGGCCTGATGCGAGTGTGTGCAGCTCCCCTGCGGGGACCAGGCTGGGGTGCGAATGCCCTCAAGACCCGAGTTCTGCAGAAGCATCCTGACAGCCTAAGGATTCCCCGGGGAGTCATTCAGAACCTGGCAGAGCATGTGGCATCTGACTCTTGGAGAAACTCACAAAGAACTTGGGTTTTATGAAACCCCAAGACCCCCTGCCAGGAGATACCCAGGCTCTTAGGGAGATCTAAGACCTCATGGCTAAAAAAGAACCCTTCCATGAGATGCAGGCTCTGCCAGTGCCAGTGGTGTCTCCCCAGAGCTCTCTGTAGCCACATTTATGCTACAGAGCATAATGTGGTCCATTTATGCTAGCCAGGTCGGAGCAACAGTGCAGAGGAGCAGCAAAAACACAGGCCTTCCCAGCCTTGGGACTGGGTTTTAATTCTACAAAAGAACAAAATCTGGCAACTACACAGTATCCTCTAAAATGTCTTTATTGTTCTAACTGGCTCAGTAACACTTCAGTTCCACCCACCAGCTTCCTAAGACTTAATTTCTGTAAGCAGGAGGAAACGAAACAGAGTTCCAGTGGCTATGACTAAACTCCAATCTTATTCTCAGTCTTAAAAAAGCAGAATGAGACTCATCACTCAGACCTCTGTTCCTGTGAGTTTTCTGGAGAGAAACCAAACTTGCATCGGTTCTTTCTTGCCCTTCATGGACACTGGGCCTCTGTGCTCCAGGTGGAATTGTGGATCTGAGTTTTCCGGAGACATAAGACATCTAAAAGACAGAGAATGGGGACAAGGAGAGAAGCAGGAGATGGAAACAAGTTACATACTGGGACGGCAAGAACACTCAAGCCCTCTTTAAATTTCACCGGAGGTCACAGTAACAACAGTAACATCAGAAATTCCTAGGGTGGCATGGCTCGTTTAAAGCAGGAACAATGATCCAACCTTCTCAAATGAAAACCACACCTCAATATGGAGATCAGAAGAGGAACAACCTCTTAATCTGCATTACAAGCTTACTCAGAGCTGACCCAGAAAAGGCACATCACCCTGCCCTGTGGTAAACAGCAAGACATTTCCCCCTACCTGTATGTATATTCGGACACGTTTATTTTCCCCTTCTCTCCTGTGGTTTCTGTTCTGCTGGTCAGGTTGACTGTATTTCCAAAAAGACAATAGCGTGGCATCCGCTGTCCAATGACACCTGTCACCACTTCCCCTGTGTGGATTCCTATTGTTATCTGCAGAAACCAAAGCTTGGGTTCAGTAACCTTAACTACACACACACACACACACACACACACACACACGAACACTTTTGACTTACTTTGCATTACAGAATAAAGGAGAATTATCACATAAAAAAATAAGAATTCTAAGACATCCCAAGATGCTATAGACAGCTCCAAACACAAACACACGCCTCCTAAGAAACATTCTGTCTCACGAGAAATAGTGGAAGTTTGAAGATTTCAAAGATGTGAATTGTGCAGCTTGCATGAGGCAAAAGAAAAGCATGAACAATAAAGCAGAAGGGATTTTTATAATTTCATCCTCATGACTTTCAGCACACGTAATAGACTGGATAATTTAAAACAAGAAGAACTATGTCTCATTACTAAAAAAAAGCAACGCACTATGGCCAGTAAAATTTGGGTCTTCATTTTCATCAAGCTGTCCTTCCTTATATGTCTGAGTGATTTTCGATCAAGGGTGTGAACCAGTTACCCACAAAGCCTTCCACCTACATCACCTACTAACCTGAACCGATTCGCCATCCACTTGTACTTGGCCAGCAATTTCCATCATGTCCAAAGCCAGGTGGCAAATGGACCGGGCGTGGTGGATGCAGGGCTCTGGCAAGCCACTCACTGTCATGTACTTGTCCCCAACGGTCTCCACCTGACACACACACAAGCGAGAGGCTCACTTATTAATGTAAAAGCCATTATTGCATTTGCAATAATAATAATAATAAAAACATTCTCGGTGTTATTAGCAACTTTAAACTCTCCTCCCTCCTAATTTTCTTACAATCTTGATATGGGAAGCTAACAAGAGGGAACTTTGTGATTATTTGGAATTTACCCACTTTGCAGTAAGGGCCTTTGCTTATGGCCATGTGCAGATGGAATTATTAGTAAGCAGTTAGTTTCCCACCTGAGATCTCCGAGATGCAGTAGATAAGTTAGCTAATTTTATCCTAAAATAATGACAGGTTGAAGGCACAAGAGCCACGGCCTGAGGTTCAGTGATTTATCATGGCCATTAACCACTGATTTTTATGATATGCTCACCAAGTGTTACACTGTGTCTCAGAAAATGACTTCGCAATAAACAGTCCCTGTGAAACTGTATCGCTCTGGTGGCCAGAAGTGGTTTAGTTAACATTCTTGCCTTTATAAAGCAATATTCCACTGGCTTCACTTTTCCATTATTATATTTGTTTCTACTTGAAACAAAGGACAGAGATGCCTTACAAATGTTTATCTTCACGCTGATGTTATCTAAAACCAAACCAGAGACCCAGGACCCTTCCCAAGTGCCACGACTTCTTTCAGTGTAAAATATTTACCCTTTTCAGAAAGAATGTCTCTTGCTGAGCACTCAAATGAACGCTGCGTTTATACTGAATGCGGAGACGTGCTAACCTAAGTGCAAACAAGCTGCTAGCCAGGGAGTCATGTGTTCCATGAAACCTTCACTTGGTTACAAGGAAAAGAAATAGTAAGGAGAGGCAGCTATTTAAGGAAGTGATAAAAACTGTCCAGGTGATGGCTCGGTGCACCAGGCTATGGGTGCAGTGCCAGTGGGGCTTCGGAGGGGACACTCAGAGCCTGAACCTGGAAGAGCACCACAGCGCACCCAAGGAGGACTTGCCTTGTACACAAACGGGTTCTTCCGAGAGTCGGTCAGCGTGTCGAACCTGGTGTACAGGTCGTTGAGAAGGTTTACAATCTTCATGGCCCCTTCTCCAGATGCATGCTTGCTACAGAAGGCATTAAAGCCCACAATGCCACTGAAGAGGATTGTCACATTGTCGTATCTTTTGGCAGGCACCGGACGCTTATGTCTCAGCTCATTGGCAACCGACGGGGGAAGGACAGAATACAGCAGTCTATCAGGGTTAAGAGAAAACCACTGTGAGGAGTGCTGGGGACACCTTTAAAAGTGCTTCTGATGGCTTTTCATAGAGTATCCATGCCACTCACTGTGGATTCAATAGGACGCCTTATAAAATTAGCAAGACAGACAGAGACAGAGAGACACAAACAGAGACAGAGAAGAGAGAGAAGGTAAGAGAAAAAGGAGATAGAGACAGATGGCACAACAGAGAAAGACAGAGAGAGGAAAGAAAGATGGAGGGAGACAGAGGTGGAAATGGAGAGAGACAGAGAAAGAGAAAAAGACAGAGACATAGAAAGACAGACAGAAACAAAGAGGAGAGAGAGAGAGAAGAAACAGACACAGAGACACAGAAAGAGACAGAGGAGACCAAAAGACAGAATCAGAGAGAGAGAGGTAGAGAGAGGAGAGAGACAGAGAAAGGAGAGACAGAGAAAAAAGAAAGACAGAGATGGGGGGGAGGGGGGATTGAAACAGAGACAGAGAACCAACATGGAAATCAATTTATTTTTCTATCTTCTATGTCTGCAAACTCAAGCCAATTCAAACTAAAGCAAAAGAAGCCAATCAAACAAGCAGAAAACCAGGGACTGATAATAACTGACACTCAAATTTATCATCTGAGGTCCTCTATTCTGACTCTGCTGTAATGGAACACAGTGTGAAAGCTGTCATTCAGTGAACAGAGCAACAGCAGAGTCCTGTGTCCCACTCAGGAACAAGCGATTTAGCTCAGGTCTCATAACATCGTGGTACAGGGAGCAGGAGCGCTCTCCAGGCTCATCAGTTATCCTCGGGTGGGGGGGGATAACTCATAAAAACAAGTGGATGCTGTTCTAGAGGAGAGATAGTTCTTGCACCAGGAAACACTGAGGTTATTGCAGTGGTGTGCAGAGGGCACGGGCAACAGTCTGCACACAGGAGGAGAGCTGATGGACTCAGAAGGGGAGAAGCTGAAACCAAAGGGAATTACAGCTTTTAATTCACAGAATCAGCAAAAAATGAGCTCTTATCTTTTTTGTTCTCTAAATTCAAAGAATGAAGCTTAAATGCATAGAATGAAGCTGAGATCTCAATTTTTCTTCAGCCCCAATGGCATTTCTCACCATTTATTTTTAACGTCTAAGCAGAGAACATACTGTAAAACACTGAGGTTACATTTGAAGCTTAAAGGTGAACAGCAGAACTAGGCAGCTTTAAAGAAAATTAATAATAAATGGTTTGTAATGAAATCATCTTGAAATCAAACATTTGTGAAAAGTCTAACTGTAATTTACTTCTCAAAAATATGAGGCTTCTTGAAGTGGCATAATAGTGCAAAGGAATTCAGAAAGTGGACCCCACCTCATGTAGATGAGGGGTGCATGCTCTCCTGGGGATATTTGGAAGCTGGTCTCTTCCCCTCTTTGGCCTCTCAGAGGTCTCCTTGCTGTGTGCTCCCATCGTAATTTATGGCACCGCTATGCACAAGAAGGCATCAGAACCAAGGAACCATGAACTAAACCCCTGAAGCTGTGAGCCCAAGTTCACCTTCCTCCTTTTAAGCTGATTCTCTTAGGTACGTGTTACAATAATGACAAACTGGCTAACAAAGCTAAAAATGCAGATACTAGAAAATGCCAAGTCACTATACAAAATTTGAAACTTGGGAAGCTTTCTAATATAAAAAGGCAGACAGGACACTGAGAAACACAAACTCACAATCTGTATGACTTTGAACTACAGTTCCAGGTGTGGTGCTGCAAGCTCCACAGAAGTGTAATTCTACCTGGATGGAATTGTATCACACAGCAATAAAACATGTACACTGAGTTATTTTTCAAGAAATGGGAGACTTTGTGTTGTCTGCCCTATGTACTTGCTGGCATTTGCAACCACATGGGCAGACTAAACTGGGAGCAGCTCAGGCCAGGAGAAAAGTACAGTGGAGTCAAAGGAACTGACCACAGCTTTCAGCTTCAGTACACAAAGGCCAAGTCCTATCAGTAAGAAGTCGTGGACACAGAACTATATTTACCCTGGCACCTTCTATTTCAGCCACACTATGGAAAGTCACTGCTGTATTTTCTCATGTGCAGTCTCCATACACAGCATCAGCACGGGTATGGTGCCAGAGAGGCATAGAAAGTCATGTTGTTACGATCTTGAGGGTTTTTAAGGACAGTGAGAGCTGTACTGTGAACTGAGGCACACTGGCTCAATTCTCCAGCAATGCAGCCTCCTCTTTACAAATATGAGCAATGCACAGGACCTGGGTGATGCTCTAATAAACCTGAAGGACTCAAAGCTTTTAACCAATATACAGAAGCAAGGCAAAGTAGCAAGAATGGTGGATATTCATTTAAATCTATGACTTGAGGGCCGGATGTAGCTCAGTGGCACAGTACCTGCCTGGAAAGTGCAAGGTCCTGAGTTTGATTCCCGGTACCAGTGAGTAAGTAAATAAACCTATAACTTTAAAAGCATATATTCTCTTTATGTCACTTGCCTATATGTCAGAATCTAGTTTAACATTTATAGCAACAGTTTCAAGTTTTTATATTTTTGCTAATTTATGTCACCACAGATGTACTCTCTTTGCAGATGACCCTGTAATTGGAATCACATCTCCCTAAAATAAGCTGCAGTTTAAGCACAGAAGTCCTTTAAAATGTGAGTACGCTGCTCAGGGGAACCCCGCAGCCCCGGGTAATGGGCATGCTCAGTGCATCCACTGCGTGAATGAATGAATGAATGAACAAGTAAACGAAGAATTGGACTTTATACGTTTGAATTATTCTCATGCTTTTCAATGAGGTATTTTGACATATATTCTTTTTACCTGGCTTCAAAATTAAATACATATTTTCCCCTGTGACTAAGACTGATTTTATTACCAGATGCACAATTTCTTTTCAAAACCAAAGTAGTCTGAGGATGTAGTTTAGTGTTAGAGCACACCCCGGTATGCGTGATGCCCTGGGTTCATTTACCAAAACCTGAATAAATAACGAATGGGTGGATGGACGGACACAAAGCACAAGATTCTGTTTGTCCCTCTAGAGCTACAGTAAGCCCCGCACCTCTTTAGCCTGGTTAGCAGGGAACCAATGCACCATGAATCCAAATCGTTCTTACGTGTCTGTCTTTTTCTTCTCATCCTCCAGGGCTCTCAGCGTGAGCTGCAGCCTGTCCGTGAGGATCTCCAACTCCTGGGTAAGCTTGTACTCCTCCCTGAACTGCTCCCCCAGGAGGACCAGGTCTCGGGTGGCATCATGAAGAGGGATATCACTCAGGTACAGACCCCTCCTAGTCAGATCGTCCAGGTTCATCACGCTGCCACACACAGACAGAGACAAAGTCAGTCCGGCAACCACAGCACAGCACAGCCTGACGACAGGCCAGAGGACATCCTGCCAGCTCCTTCCACTCGAGCATCAGGCTGAAGGAAAAGCAGTGACAGAGCTGGCCTCGCAAGATGATCTTATTTTCTCGGGTATCTTAGACTCCATCTCAGAGCAGCGAACCTGAGAGATGTTTGCCAAACTGTGTTTGGTGGAGCTATCTACAAAAAGTTAAGGTAGAAACTTCTCTGCAAAATTTCAGACACTTAATACAAGGTTGTGCTTATTACAGAATCGTTTTTCTTTATAAAAAGAGGAAAATACCTACACTTTCTTCTCAGTGGCAATTATTCTCTCTGAGTAACCAGCTCATTATTTGCCTGCAGATTCCATCCATCTTGTAGTTGGCTGCTTTTCCACTGGACGCAATGTTTACAAGTTTGCGAGATTTAGTGCATCTTTAGCTTGTGCTTGATATGCTTAAAAGCCTTGCTGGCATGTATTTGATGTTATTCTTACATGGAGCTCTTAGTTCTTCTATTCTTGTTTCCTTTGATAAATTTTTCCCATTTTTCTGAATCACTATTTGACCCTGATGAATTCTATGTCCCTTGGCAATTCAAGTAATTTGTGGAGCAACATAATATTGTTTATTCATTCAGTGAGACACTGATAATGCAAAGTTCATTGCTTTTAAAACACTTTATTTTACTCATAGGTTAAAATGTCTTAAAGATATTAACTTGAGTTATTTAAGTACAATGCAACTACTTCTAGTTACTCACATAATAGTTTCTCTAAATAGGAAAATTGGGTTATGATTTCACTAAGGATTGATTGAAAACTCAGATGGTCTCTCCTGATTTTGTTAAAATGAGAGTTCAAGCCTTCTTGCAGAAATAAATCCATCTGCAGAGATTCCAGGTTATCTTCCAAGTGCTGGGCAAGACCTGCCCTCGGGCAGACAACTTAAAACGGAAATGAAGTTGTACATATCCATTCTGAATTAGGAAATAATTAAATTAGAACCATCTAATGGTTCTAAAGATTATATTAACGAACTATTAAAACACTTTGTCCTTAAAGTAATTACCCAAAAATTATTTTATGAGGGAAACTGCCTTAGCTCCATCTTGTTCTATGCATGGTGGACATGTCTTTCCACACACATAAGCAAGTCTCATATGACAAACTGCGAATACTCAACTCAGGGCCAATTTCTGCACATGGCAAGAGACAAATGCATTCCAAAGTTTCTATTTTGGCTCCAGGAAAACCATTTTTCTACATGAGTAGGAACTGTACCTACAGGGAAATCCGTTTCACTGAATCTCTACCTGGAGAAAGGCCTGAGGAAGAAAATGCTTATTGATAGGAGAAGAAATACTGAAAGATCAATGCAATCTACTAATCTTTAGAAATTTTATATTCTATAATTTTCTCTTTTAATTCTCATTTTTATATATGCCTCAGGAAAATGTAATGTTTATGCCCCATATAATATGTATGTCATATGTAATTTTACTTAAAATTAAACAGTATTTAATTCATATTAAAAATATTTAATAATCAATTGGTGATTAATATATTCTTATTTGGTTTTACATATTATTGTTATGTATTCCTTAATACCATTGCTACAAAGTCCACCAGATTTTTTTCAGTTTTGAACACAGCATCTATACATGAAAAGAGATCATAGTAGAAGTGAAATTAACTTTTGAACCAACAACTTACCGAAACATGAGTTCTCAAGTATATTACTGGATATGATGCACAATTATAAACTCACAGAATGTCTGCAAACAACAAGCCCCATTTTTTTGGCTCTAAAGCAAATTTAGATTTTTTTAATCATCTGAATTTTTGTGCATACTGCAGGTGAAATGTTTTCTCAGTGTGGAAAAATACCAACTCATAGTTTTGCTGTATTATATTACAAACAACATTTTAATAAACTTCAATTTAATAATATATTTCAAGTAGTATATCTTAAAGTAATTAAATTTTTTGATATAAAGAATCAGAACTAGAAATAAGAGTACTTTCATAATTTTTATTACCATACTATAGAAAAGCTAATTTCTTGGCGCCAAATATAGCCATGTACTTATGCCATTATAGAACATGTATTATGCTATATAGAACTGCTTATTTACATGATGCTTCTTTTGAAGACACAAAACTAAAGCATTTGTTAATTGAAGATTATCTCATGATCTGACGGCATAAGTATTTCCAAAATAGATTTTACTGTGGTACATGAAGTTTGCTACTTCTTCTGAGTTTATTAATAAATATTCAGTAAGGTCATGCTTGTTACAGAGAATTACGTATCAGGGATAGGAGAATTGAAATTCCTTCGAATATATACACACAATGGAATAAAATTTCATGGGATAAAGGGAGTCTGGCTTTGATCAGTGTGTGCTATACATATGGAATATCACGATGAACCCCATTAATATGTACAGTTAATACACTGTATTCAACAATTAAAATTGAGAATATGGTTGATACCCTTTGACACCTGATGACGGGAATTTCCATCAGCTGTAATCAATCCAAGATTGTTACCTTGGCGAACACAGAAAGAGAAGGCTGTCTGCTTCAGGTAAGTAGATCATCTGACCCTTGAGGCGTAAGCAGCTGATCTCTGTCCCCGTCAGTTCATCCTCACACTCTAGCTTCTCTACGTCCAGCAGTCCCTCCTTGAAGAGACAGGACACGGCTGTCAACCACCATGTCTGTCCCTCGTGGTAACTCATCCGCAGGGGGACCCTAGCATCCCACTCCACACTAACCCGAGGGGAGAATAAGTCCATCAGGCGGGGTACAAGCGTGGCTGGAAGACAGTGGGCCACCTCCTTGGACTCCAGCTGGCTGCAGCCACTGATCGCAGATTACATAGATTACAAATTTAGTGAATTTTATTGACCCCTGGTTTTCATGCATGGCTAAGCATAAACCTTCCCTGGTAACAAAAGACCTAGGTGGAACACAATCAGCTTGAAAGTCTGGCAATCAGTCCTCACCCTGGCCTCACCTCCTTATGGAGTGGACACCAAGCAGGAGGGCGGCAATGGTTGTCAAGGCTAGGACGGGCTGACTGGGGCGGTTGTATCTGATCTCTAGTTTTCTGGCCCCATTATTCTCTGACTAGGTCTTATTTTAGGGGCAACAGGAACCAAAGGTTGAAACAAGCCAATGCTGTCCTCACAGAGGAGCTGAACACAGCCAGACACAATACAAAAATATGTGTAGCTACCATACTTGGAGACACGTGGGAAGTTGAAGTGTGAACTCTAAGAAAATTGTTTTGCTATAATTAACCATCCAAGGACACAAGCTCTGAGGTCTGGAGACTATCTAAATTTCCAGCTCTGTAAATATTTTATCTCTTGCATTTTCCTATAAAGAAAAGTGGCATCAAGACTAATAAACAATTTAAGGAAGGATTAATCACTAGCTTGGGGGGAAATAAAAAAAATTGTTCTTCTGATTCCTAAAATGGGGGAGTGTACCCGTACAGGGAGTGAGGGTGGCTTCATTCAGTAATAGGGCTGCCCCAGAGAGCCTGCTAAGGGTTGGCTCCGTTTGTTCCGATCAGCTCATACCACTGCATGCTCTTCAGCTAAGCCCTGAGCCAACAGCAGCGCGGCTCTGTGGGCATCTTCGGGATTTGGTTTTCACCCTCGTTACCTTTGTAACAGGAGATCATGTCCCCTCCTCATCACTTCTCAGTGGTAACCCTTACTTACTTAGTGACAGAAGAGTCTGATTACCTTGCTTCTCAAGACGAAGACAGTGTTGATGTGTGAAAGGATCCCGTGGAAGCTGATATCGATGTGAGGACGAACCAGAGAGAAGACAGACAGAAGGCTGCAATTCCCGGGCTGGAGCTAAAATGCAGAAAAAGACCAGAGAGCGCTTCCTAAGTGAAAACATAAAAATCTCAACTGCTGGGTGGGAAACTAACTGCGATACGGACTCAAATGTGCAGCTCAGTGATGAAGCTGGGCATCAAACAAAATCTAACACCATTTCAGATAGCCAGCACTTGGATATAAGTCGATGCAAGTAAGTATTTCAAGAAAGAGAAAGGATGCCAATTTATCTCCTAAAACATGGCAGGATGTATTAAACGCCTATGATTTAAGTGAAATTAAATGTTAACAATACCACAACACTTCCTTAAAGTTACCAAGGAAAGGCTACTAGGAAGAAAAATAAGTAAGGGTCAGTGATTGCTGACGAGAGAAGGCATGAGACTGAGACCCTGATGGGACCTCTCCTCCTGTCAGAACAGGGGACACGGGCAGAGGGTGACACACTCAGGGTCACACAGTGAGGCATGGGTCGAAGGGACACACCCACTCTTCTGTTTCCAGGTCTGAGGCTTCATGCTTTAAACTAGTGGGGCGAATTCGGAATTATAAAGTCTCGGTAATTACAAACAAAAGTACTGCACCTCCAGACCCACGGCGGGAACACTGCCAAATGTCACAGATGAGAGAACGCACTTGTGACAAGCAAGGATTTCCGAGGGCCTTAGAAATAACAGGCAAGGGGACTGGGGATTTAGCTCAGCGACATAAGCACCTGCCTTGCAAGCAGGCGTCGTGAGTTCGATCCCCGGTACCGATAAAAAGAAAAAGACAAAAAAAAAAAAAAAAAAAAAAAAAAAGAAAGAAAGAAAAAGAAATAACAGGCAAATGTGGGTTCTCATTAGCACCCCAACTGCTGTCCCTGGGTACCTCTTCTACTAAACAAAAAGACAGTCACCTTTTTATCAGTGTGTTCAGATTCCTTTTTATCCTCCCTGAAAATGTCAGTAATCAATTTTAAAAGCTGTTTTCAAACGGCAAATCCATAATGGATATTTACTCAACCAAGAATTATTGATGGCCGATTGCTCGAATGTTCCCCACTTACTCATTAAAATAAATACACTACTTTCCCGTGAGTTCCTATCCCATATAAGTGAGTGTCAATGAACACGCAGACGTCCTAAACAAAGCCGCCGTCCTCCCACACGCACTGGGGTAAAGCACAGGTGGGACAAGGAAGAGCTGCGCTCTGTGCTCTGAAACATTCGAAGAGCGCTGAGCCTGGGAGCGCCGCTCCACCCTGGGAGTTACCTGGGGCAGCACCCTGTAGATGGCATTGCCACACTGTGTGACCACGAGGTCTCGGTCAAATATGATGTGGAAAGGGAAAGCTTTGCAGAAGGTATAGGGGCTGATGCGTGATTCCTGGGTACCGTTTTCTTCAAATCTGTCAAGATCTTCATAAAAATCCTCTTCTTTTGACTCTTTCTCCTCAATTAAAAATTGAGTATGATCGCATTCTTCATTTCTCTGCTGAATCACCTGGAAATCACAGGGGAAGCGACCACAGTTTACTTCAGTCTCAGTAACTAAAGACAAGAAACTGATTATGAGAATGGTCTTTACACCAAGATCTTAAACATTGAAACAAAATTTAAATATTAAACCAAAAGCTCAATATATGTGTAAAGTGGAAAGATATTTCAAAACACCGTGAAAGACTTGTGAAATTGAACACAGAATAATTTCAGCAGAATTTCAAACCTGAGGTAAGTTCTCCAGTTGCCTGATGTCTTCCTTGGTAGAACCAGGAAATAATTTCCTCCTGTTCTGGTAGACTATTCCCCTCTGCTAGGCACAACTGTTTACTGAGCCACCTACAAACTGCAGACGGAAACTCTAGCCAACATGATAAAATGATACTTAAAGCCAGAGGGAACTTAAAAGATAGAGATGTGTATTTTAAAGCATATGCAATATAATTTTTTATTCATTGATCAGCAGGTTGCTATGGCTGGGGTCTACAAGGTACCCCAAAGTCTCCCGTGGTCAGTGGCGGATGGATTATTGGAATGGGACACTCGTCGATCCACTGACCAGTCCACCGCTCACTGCTGTGGTCTGCGGGGTCACTGGGAAAGGAACAAGGAGGTGAACTCTGGCTCCCCATCTTTTCCCTCAGGCTGGCTGTCTCTGTCCTCTCTCTCTGCTTTCAACTGTGATGGTGTTTTGGCCTCAGAGTCAGAAACCATGGAATGAAACCTCAAACTCGGAGGGAAATAAATCCTTCCCCCTTTAAGTTGTGTGTGTGGGTGGGCCAAGCTGTGAGAAATGGCTCCTGCGGAAGTATAAAAACCACAGTGCCAGGGGCTGGGGACTTAGCTCAGCGGCATAAGCGCCTGCCTTGCAAGCATATGGTCATGAGTTCGATCCCTGGTACCGTAAAAAAGGAAAAAAAAACCCACAGTGCCAGACTGGGATGGGGTCCTGAATAAAGCAGCACCTCGGGAGGCACAGACAGGAGCGTCCTTTCAATCTCCCTGAAGGATACACTGATAACATTCATCAAAAGCCCCTAAAATTGTATGCTGTGTATTTTCATTCAGTTCAAGAATTTATCTAGAAGAAGTAATTAGGAAAGTAAGCAAAGCTCTCTAATTTAAATAAATAATTACATTCCTAAAATATCGACGGTCTGATATATTATTGAAGTCTAAATTATCTTTTAAGGAATTGCAAGCAATGAGACCTCTCACAAAAGGGGAAATCTTGGCCTCAACCTTGTAAAAGCCCCAAGAGGAACTGGTAAAGTCCCAGGCAAATGAAGACAAAATGTGCTTGCTTGAGCTTTTTCGTTGAGGGTTCCTGTGGCCTCTGACAATTAACCAATCACAAAACCGTGGATACTACTGTGTATTTTTTCCCGATTTTTTTTGTAAAAATTAAGACATAACTACTATAACTGTCACATCATCATACTAATTTTACCATAGTGGTTAAATAGTGATAATCTTATGCATCATTGGAAACATAGGAAACAGCAACGAGTGTCATGTGGTGGCCAAGTTAGGACCCTGAAATCAGCATTCAAAACCAACTGTGTACTATCACAGCTCTTGGTATTGTATCAGACCTGACTTCTTTCACCAAAGTAATTTGATTTAGAAAAGAAAGAGACAGAGCCCAACTTCTAGTGGACAAGACATTCCAGCTCCATGTCAGAACAGATTTAAAAGATCCACAGGGAAAAAAAAAAAACTGATCTGTAAAATAATATCTAATTTTGCATTTGCTTCACACAGGACCAGGTATCACCACGGTGCAGCCTCCTGCTCTTCAGCTGATGAGTGTTCATGGGAACAGACACCAAATTCTTCATGGCCTTAAGCAATGTATATCCGGAGATTTATCTCAGCAGTGCCTGCCTGGCAAGCACAAGGTCATGAGTTTGATCCCCGGTACCAAAAAAAAAAAAAAAAAAAAGAAGCAACATATAACCAGAATGAAAAATCTGCCACAAGGAAAAAGTATCCTGTTCAATGCATCCCAAGGACAAATACAGGAGACTGCTCCTGCTCCCACCATTCTGTGTATATATATATATAAATGTGTACACACATTTATGTATAGACATACATACATACACATGCATGTGTTTTTTAGTGATACCCACTAGCAGCAATAACGGGGAGACACTGAGTGTCTTCCCTCCATTCCCAATGTCCTCCATGGTCAGAAGTCCCCATTCCATTCATTACCTTCATGTCTATTTCTGTGCCGTGGATCTGCTGAGCAACTGTCTTGATGATTCCAATGACGATGTCCTGCAGCCCCTCCCTCTCCGAGTAGTAGTGCAGAATGAGCCCTTTGCCCTTCTCCGCGTCCGTGCACCTAAAGGAAGGCGCGCGCATGCCTGGGTAGATGGTAGCCAGGTGGTCGTGCAGGGCATCGAGGTTCTGCAGAGAGGAGAGAGTGGTGAGTGGCGTGTCCACACTGTCAGCGGACTTCAATGAGCCACGCATGGAGCACAGGCCAAATCTGTGCTTACTGGACAGGTCCGCAGAGCAAACCTGTGCATAGAACATCCTCGCTGCCTGTTCTGACACCACTACCAAACACTCTGCAGACAAACCTCGACTAAGACAGTACAGGTAAGAAAACTCTTTCTAGGTGGTCTTACTAGTCAGTACGCTTTAAGAAAGGATAAACAAACGGTCTGCAAAAAAGAACGCTCGAAGCAAAAAAAAGGAATATGGTTAAGGGCTAAAGAACAGACCCACACATTTTCCGGAGCTTAGGAGAGCTGCACATGCATTCTAGGATAAGATGGGATTGCCTTGAGGGACCACACTGCACTCTCTGTTTACTTTAAAGTTATGAAAACAGAAATGCAATATTGTGAAATAATTTCTGAATAGGTAGTCTCCAATAAAGTAAGGATTATGAAATAATTCTTCTAAGCCTGTGAAATAATTACCTTTCAAAATTGAAATCTTAGGAAAGTAACAAATTAGTAAGAAAACCTACTCAGGACCCCTTCTGTCTCTCAGACAGAAGCTTTCTTTCTTCCAATAAAGATATCCTGCTCTTAACCTCCACTGTTCCTAAAATTCATCCTTCAGTTTTAGTACCAGACATCTAGTAAGTTGGGAGATTCATTCCCCTATATCATTTGAAAGTCTTCCACTGAGATCATAGACGCAGACTTAAAGCTGTATGGCTACCCAAGATGAAAATGCCTGGTGTCTATTGAGGGCCTTTAGATAGATGCTTTATAGAATACCTCTGACTGCTGATCAGCAACTACAACCAGGCTGAAGAAGCCAGATGGATCACCGTCCACTACTCCTCTCTTCAGAGGAGAGAATGTTACAGGCAGCTAAGTTAGAAATACTATAGGCAGACAGACAGGGCTGGGCCCTCCAATGAGCCAGTGCAGGAGAGCAGGTATCTCACAACCTTGCAGGAGATAAGACACCTCTGCTGTGGACCAGAGCTCAAGACAAAAGGCATAACAAATGCAGCCTCACTGCACGTATAAACATCAGGGACAGATATTCTAAACAGGTATTGATCACCTTGAGGAGGAAGCCAGAAGGAGCCTTTAGTCCAACCCCTCACCCACAAAGACCCCATTCTGTATCCAGGCTGCTTGCTACGCCTCCCCATTTGACTCCAATTTAATCAGTTTTACCTGAGCAGTTACACTGGTCATCTTATTGGCCGAGCATAGCTCTGTCCCACCTCACGCCCACCTGCCTTGCCACTTCCCATGTTTCCCCATGTAGACCCGCCTCACCTCACGGTTTTGCTCTATAGAAATCCCTGGAAAAGGTGGGGTCCTTGGCAACCCACTCGGGACCCCTTGTGTTTGTCTCGGACAGAAGCTTTCTCTCAATCAATATATTCTGCTCTAAAAAGAAAATTAAAAACTAACCAGTAGATATTTTTTATTCTTAGAGCCTGGTCATTAGCTTAGAATGTACCAAATTCACCAATGTCCTACATTACTCACTGAAATACAAAAATAATTTGAGTAAAGGTTCCCACAATAAAAGGTACAAAATACACTTTCAACTTGGTCTATCCAACATGACAATTATTCATGTATGTACGTGTCTACGTATGCATGCACTGGAAATTCAACCTAAGGCCTTCCTTTGCACCGAGCTACATGCCCACCCCTTTTTATTTTTAAAAAAAGTATTTTTCTAAGTTTCCCAAGCTTGTCTCAAAATTGCAATCCTCTTGCCTCAGCTTCCAAGTGCTGTGATTACTGATGCATGCCACAAACCCTAGTCTCAACGTGAGTTTTCAGGTACTGCTTGGTTCACAGTGTGTCTGTGTGTAGCTGTGTGCAGGATACACACAGCCGGCTCCGTGGTCATGAAGGCTGATGCTGGGATCCGGACTCATGAGTGTTTGATTTCCTCCACTGTGTAAATCTACTGTCTCTATAAACTGTCTTTGTCCACAGTGCTTTCTGTTTTCTTCCTCAAAATTAAAGTCACGTCACTTTAGTTGTTTTCTAAAGACAGCCATTTATCCAATCACCTCCAGAGGCTGCCAGCGCCCTGCAGGAGCAATTCAATACCAGCTTTGACACCACGAACTGAACCGTTTCTATAGCCTGCAAATCCCAAATCCCTCAAAAATTTTTACTTGACAGAACCCGAGGTTCGGACCATGCTTCCATGGCTAAGGGCTGCGCTGAACACTCTTTGAGGTCCTTTGTAGTTTTCTACTTCTATGAAAAATCTTTGCAAAAAAGATACTAGTTAGAGAAAAGCAATTACCATATGAGTTGTATTATTATTTCTCTTTATCTCAGAGTCAAAATTGAACTCATGGGTGCATTAACCATGTTTTTCTAGTGTAACCAGGTCCAGGTGCTGCAGGAGGGCTCAGTTAATAAAAGAAAAAAACACTGACCCAAAGCCAGTGGTGCAAGCTCAAATCCAGCCTGGACAACTTTGTGGTTTACGGAAAACGTCTCAAAATAAAAAGCTTAAAAAGGGGGCAGGTATGTGGCTATGTAGATCAGTGTGAAAGGTTCCAGGTTCAATCCCCAGTATTGGAAAAAAAAAAAAAAAAAAAAAACACTCAGGTCTTCTGACACTTTTTTCACTTTACCAAATGGAACAAAGAGAGGCTCAGTCAGCGAAGGTGGGGGGAGTCACTTTAACTTAGATAAACCAAGGGATAAACCAAGGCGTGAATATTCATAACAAAATACTGCTGAGATGCACGCTTGGGGCAAGTGAAACACTATGAATTACCCATGGAGGACCTTCATCTTTTATTAAATTTCATGACAACCAATTGTCAAGAGATTTGCTGTTTTATTGGATTTACTATTAATTAAATGGACAAGGGAAGTGTTTTCCTGGAGCATACGAGATTTAACACTACTTAATGCAATATTGATTTTCTTTAGCCAGTATCTAACACAAAAAAGGCTCTTGGGACCTCTGTAGTCACCGCTTTCCTTACTTAGTTAAAGTGATTAACACAGCCTGCCTACTCTTAAGGAACGGGGTTACTGATTAAAAATTAAATTATTGTCATTTGAGTACGTCCACATTGCTCATAAACATGCCATCTTTATAATCTAGACAACAGCAGTAGCAGCCTCAAAAAGCCACACACACACACACACACACACACACACACACACACACGCACACACACACACACACACACACACAAACACACTCAGAAAGGATCCTATATCAGCCCAGAGGAAATCTTTTCCAGATTTGATAAGGTTCTCTGCACAAAACTGATTACTCATCCACATCAGTGTAGCGATGTATTCTGGAGAAGTTTTTGTCTCAGCACTGGTACTGTTTCATTTCTAAAGATACCTGAGGAAGCAAGCATAGAAAGAAAAGAACAGGACAGCTGTGTGTCCGCTTACCAAGTACAGGGCGCATGTGTGAGATGAAAGCGGAAGAGACACAGGAAAAAGTAAACACACATAACTGCGAAAGTGGACTTTCCGGAAACAACAGCGCAAACTCCCACTCTGCAGTCATTCTTTCTAGCTTTATGTAAAAAGGAAATAAAAACAGAGAGACAGCAGGAACACTCACCTGTTATTTTAAGATACCTAAAGGTAATTCTGAGGTTTTAATTCCATTTCTGAATGTTGGAATAGCATTTTGCTGGAGTTTTATTCCAGTGCTGAATCCAGAAACTTTGTGCTGAGCTACATCCCATCCTGTTGAATTTTTCAAATTTCAACATAAAGACTTCTAAAAATTAATGTACCTTTCCCGTCACCATGTTCAACTCACCTTGCCATCTGCTATGCTATCACTTATGGGAGAAAACTTAGTTATGGGACCCTGGGAAATTGTGATGAACTTCCAGATTTAGTAAATACCATAGACTTAGGATATGAAAGGTAATTTACTATTCCTTTGAGAAATACTACAAAGTTCCATCTAAACAAATTCTACAGAAATCTACCATTTCACTGTCTTGTTTCAGTATATTTAACCAGAAATTCCTAAGTGATTCATAGAAATTAATATAGTAGGATGCTATTTTGAAGAAGGGGACTTTTTGCTTTTAATTTTAGTGAATGTGGAAAGAGAAATTGTTTGTCTTGAGAACACTACTGAAGTTTAGATCTGAAAAGAATCTTAAAGAGCAGCTCCTAAAAATCTCTCTCTCGTCCCCATCATTCAGCCCCTCTCCCTTCCCCTTCCCTTCCGCTCCCTTCTCTTCTGGCTTCCTCTTCCTCCCCCTCTTCTTCTTCCACCTCCCTTTCCCTCTTTCTCCCCACTCCATCTAGAAGCAAGACACCCCATCTCCTTTCTCTTCATTCCTCCCCTCCCAAAAAATGGGACGAACACCAGTCGCTTCAAATTAAGCTTATGTAACTTGAACACATTTTGCTAAGTTTCAGAACAAAGAAGTCAGTTGAGAATTTGGAGATGAAAAATTTAAACAGACAAGACTAGAAAAAAAGTCCAACTCAACTCCGATTGAGGGAGGGTGACAAAAAGGAAGCTCAGTGGAAGAAGTGATGGCTGTGATGGCCCCTTTCCACCTTTTCTTCTGAGAAACCAAAGTCCCTCCAGCTGGAAAGGGGCAATTCTTTCCATAGAAGCAATGGAAATCTCTCCAAAAATACTGTACAGAGCCACTACAATTACATGCATAGTGTGCCAGGCGATCTTACTGGTTAACCTGCTGGAAAGCTGAGGAGCTGCCCATGGACCTTCCCAGCTGAGAGCGGTGCTAGGAGGTGTGGCCCAGCTGGAGCAGATGATCTCCTAGGTGGCCCCTGGGGAGTGGGTCTCCCCATCTTGCTCTTCACTATTTCCCAACCAGCCCAAACGGAACAGCTGTACTCCACCCTGCCCTTCCATCAAGACGGCCTGCCTTGCAGCCAGCAGACTCCATGCTCCCGCCTTGGAATCTAGCCATGCACGCACACCTTTGA